CAATGCTATTTTTACGACTGCAGTTGCAGATGAGAGTAGTCAGACTCTTAGAATTCAATTAGTGTATGTTTGTCTCCTGCATAGCAAATATAATCCTTATTTATAACAATGCTGTGTGGCAGACACAGCTCTGACAATTTTAAATTATGCAATAATGAACACATTACAGAACCTTCTTTGGATTACACCATTGCCGGATGATTGCACCCAGCACCCATTTAGGAGGGCTTTGTGTATTTGACTTTCTGAGGAAGCTGACCTAAAAACATGACCTGTAAACAAGGGGAAAAACTTGGTGTTGCTTCTCTGAAATCAATCCAGGTGCATGAAGCAAAGACTTTGTATTAAACTTTCAATGTCAGCCTTGAAATCCTTGAAAAAGATGATGTAATGTATTAGAGATTATAGTTCCTTTTTTCTCTTGCATTTTTTGTCTCTCATGGAAAAAGCAATTTGTCAATCCTTTAGTAAACAGTTCCATGTAAAGTAACCCCTCTACCTAAGCTAGGATGTCAGTGCAAACAGAAAGTTTAACAAGTATGAAGCTGTAGCAGTATGTCTCGATTATTTTCAAGAGCATAATTTAAGAAGCTTGATGACCCCAAGCTCCTGTAGTTGAGGCTGCTATAGTCTTTGAATTGCTGGAAGACATGGCCCCTTAGTCATTATCTGAACAAATTTCAAGTTTAAAAAAAAAAAAAAAAAGTATTTCAGGTGAAAAAGGTAAAAACTGCCTATTGTCAAAGAAGGCAGTTGTCTACAACAGCTGACAACACAAACATAGGCTGACAAATTGTCACTTACGGAGGAAAAACTGCTTTGGAAATGTCAAGATTTTTCCTCATTTAAAATTAGCAAATTCTGAAGAATCAAAATAACTAGAGTTTGAGATGGAATCACTCTGTAACAGATGGCACAATATCTTTTTTATATTGGAATTATACTTTCCCGTTAATAATGTATTCTCGATTGACTCTTTGCACTGAGATGGTGCCTACCTCCAGGAGGAACCACTTAAGTAATGCTTCCTCCAAAGGCATCATCTCTGATGATGCATCTTACAGTACTCTGATGTCATCATTAATACCAATCAGATTTGAGTTTCAAAAACTGATCAGTGCATGAAACCCACTTTCCAGACCAGTTCGTCCAGCTTTGAGTTTTACTTGGCGCCAGTTCATTAGTTCAGTTTGTAGAAATGGCTGTGTCTGTGCACTTCTCGCCAATGCTCAGCGCATTTGTCGCTGGGGGTAAATTTAAACTCGCTCATCTAAACATTGGCAGCTGCTTTGGGTCCGTCCTGCCTTTTGGAATACATGAAGCCATCTCTGGGAGATGGTTGTATACTCTATGAGAGCCTTGATACTGCATCAAAAAGATGCTTTTAAATTGGTCTGCCAGTGCTGCAAGACGTATCTCTGAACCACATTGGTCCGATTTCTCTAGTCTGTCTTCATCCCCTATGTATTTTTAACTTTTTTCAAGAGATTGCTTGTTATGGCTGATTACATTATTTGCTTTTTTTTTGTCTCCTTTGATGCCTGTGCCAGTAGTGCTGATGTAAAGGAGCTTGATGATATTGAATGGTAGGAATGAACAAATGCAGCGGGAATTCAATTGCTGTTTTGCTCTCAAGCACAAGTGTTCTTTCTAAATCAAGTCTGACCACTTACTATGTCAGTCAGCTACATTGTTGGAGACACGGAGAAACTATTTCATTTACATTTGATTTAAGGGAAATTTTTGTTTGCTTGAGGTGCTCTATTTTATTTGGAAGTTTTAGAAATGTATGATTTCCAGGTGCTCTGCATGCTTTAAAACAAATCTGGCCATAGTTGATCTTCATCTCAGCTGCAAAATCGTATGCATTATGTGAACCTGTCAAATAACTGGCCAACAGTACCCTATCCTCTCTACAGACAGGGAGTTTGGAGTTATTTGTCAAATATCACACAGGAGTTATTGATGATGGGTTCTTTTAGGTACTTTTAAGATTCAATTTCTTAATCATACAGCCATCCACCTCAGCTGGTACATGCGATTTTAGAATTCATATTATAGAGCGTCTGATAATTAACAACAATTTAAAATATCTCATTGTAATGTCATTTACAACTTGATTAATTAGTTGACATTGCTGCTCTTAAATTTCAAATTTTAAGAGGTTTGTGAGTGTTTTCCAATAGTTTGACAGAGTCTTCCCATGGGCGCACTAAATGCGGGATTGCTGTGAATTTAGGGCCATGTCCTGCAGCGCTCTAAAGTCGTCTCCGTTGCTGCCACATCCCTGCTTCACTCTGATGTTCAGCAAATAGTTTGCTGGGAAGTTTATGTGCTAATCTGGCAGAGAAACTAATCCACCAAAGCAAATAGCTTTCTTTTGGAGAAGCATGCTGAAATGAAGTGTTGAGATTTGGAGACGCAGCAGTACGATGGGATGTGGCAGCCAACAGTTGGATTGTCTTACACTGCCAAAGACCTTCAGTCAGGGAAGCACACACGCTTCTTTCATAAAGGTTGGCAGTCCCAGTCGGGCAATTTCTAAAGAAGAATTGCCATCAGTGAGGTATTCAGAAGAAAAATGACTGTTCAAAAATGACTGTGCAAAAAAGCAAAATTTCATTGTACCATGGCAGGGACACTCAATTATAAACTTCTTTGCCTCTCTGTATTCAGACAGAGCGGGGTTTCTGTGCGCTTGATTCATCACACTTGGCTTGAGAGAGAGCACAACATCTCCAGATATCGGAGAGGCTGATTTTGTAGTGCTTCAATGTCGCTTTTATTCAACCCCTACTCAATAGAGCTTTGTGTTCTTCTCTCTCCTAGAGATTGTAACTGCTGCCACGGAGGCAGAAATTACATGGAAATATGGACCATAAAAAATATTGGCAAACTGGTGTTTCTCAAAAATATGACCTGTGCTTAAAACAACAGCAAAATCTTTATTTGACTTTTAAATCATGGCATCTTACTGTCTTTTGATTTTTTTGAGCCTCTAAACAAAAGCATAATATACTACAGCTCGCTGTGAACTAGGGATTTAAGACATGGCAAATCTACAGGGGAAAAAACCCTATGTTCAAAATAAAATCCCTTTCTGATAGGGCATTATAGAGAGTACAGCTGTTTGGTGGTAGTGCTGTGCAGAGAGGAACAGAGCTGGAGACTAGCAAATGTGGTAACAGAAAGGAGGGAGAAAAGAGCCTTGGCTAAGCTGGGTGCAAGCTGCACGACCTTGCAATGAACGGAAGACTTACTGCAACTCCACCTCTTAATATGTAGGTCTTGTCTACGAAGACTAGTGGAAAAAAAGTTGAGGAGTAGGACACTAATGTTCCTGAAAGATGGCAGAGTTTTCTGTGTTGTGTTGATGCTGCATAGTCTTTCTCTCAACTTCAGTTTGTTTTCATCCAAATATATGCTATTGGCATCTGTTTACTTGGTGGTTCAGTGTTGGAAACATACCTCTCTTCTTGACAGCGCATGGCTGTGTATCTTATGTAGCTTGATTTGGAACTGGAGAGAGGAAGAGGCTGTGCGCTTTGCAGTGGGAACTTGCTTTTTGGTCCCAAAATTAATAACAGGATTGATGAAAAACACCGTTCAAGTATGTTGACATGTGGTTGACAGTTTGTGGGACAGTGATGTATTCTGTGTGGGAACATCTGTCGTAAGGGAATGGCTTGAGGAGGGGGAAAAGCACAGGATGTAGCTGCAGAAACTACTTCAAAATTACTTGTATACGAATGCACGGGATAGTTTAATTAAAGGGAGACTGGAATTTCCCCAACTTATGGAGAAAAGTATATGGAGAAATCTAGTTCACTGGTGTTACTGAGCATCTGCTGGCTTGTGATGATGCTTTTACAGCACATTTTACTGAGGGATTTTGCAGGTTGCTCTGCCTCTGAAAGGACAGTACTCAGTGTTCATCTCGGTTCACTTCGTGCTATTTTTACAGCTTTCTGTGTTCAAATGGCTCAGAATAACATGCTTGTCATTCACCTGTCAACTAAGAAATGTAACTTACTTCAGACTTCCTTCCCCTGAGAGTAGCTCCAATATGAGGAATATCTTCAATTACCAGAAAATTCTGTGCTGTCCCCTTCCTGTGTGCTCTTAAAAGGCAGGTGTTTACAAAAGGTCCTCTGTGTCAAGATGACCTACTTAAGGATGCTGCTGTGCAGCAGGTCAAGGTTTTGGAGTAAAGTTTTTAGCGTCACGAGATGCTATTCAAATTTTGGGGAATTGTGGATGGATCTTCGAGATCACCTGTGCCAGCACGTGGTTTTATTCAATGAATCGTGGCATAAATGGAGAGCTGGAGGAACACGTGCCTGATGACTGCAGTCTTTGACTAGATAAGAAGTACATCAAGTAGTTTAAGCCAATGCATTCCGGATACCTGTATCCTGTCGCAGAGGTTGCGCTCTGTGCAACACCAGCAAAACAGCTTGAGCTTTGCAACACCACTGCACCGCTTGCATAGGTGAATTGCTTGATGAGCCTCCAAGTTCTTTTGCTTTGACACACAGTAGGATATAGAAATGTTTCAAGAAAAAGGGAGCATCCCTACGCTTATGGACATGAGGAGGCTTAATCCTTGGATGCATGGGAGCTGGATTGTTTTTTTAATTGTGTGATTGCTGCTGTCTCACTTGTGTGGGAATGGGCTTTTTAACTGTAACTTCAAGTGCTGCCAGTGATGCTCTTGTACTTTTTACTGGAGAAAACTTAGCTGAATCAGTGGTAATAATGATCTGTCTGCTCTGTTTGAATGACTATGGTTTAACGATCTAATGTGTTACGATTTTATGGCTAGAGAAGAAACAGATGTCATGAGTGGTTTCAAAACTGGTTAGAACATGAATGAGTGTGGACGCTTTCTATTTCATGATGGGTTACTGGTCACTGGGGGCGTGTAAAAAGTTTCCTACAGAAGGAAATAAAACTCAATTTTAACAGTTCTGTTTTGTTTTCTCCCATCTCTGACACAGGTTGCCAACTTGGCCTGTTCTATCTCAAACAACGAAGAAGGTGTGAAATTGGTTCGCATGTCAGCCAGCCAGCTTGAAGCCCTGTGTCCCCAGGTAATAAAGAGCGTAAGAACATAAGACATACCCAAATAAGTTGGGCAACTGGTCCTGCTTCTGGCCTCTGTTCTGGCCTCTTAGTGTCTGTCTACAGACTTGGTGCAGAATTTGACTTTTTCCTTCATGTAAGTAGAGAATGAAATGCAGCGTAGGCATCAAGACTTAGAGACTTTAAAATATATGACAAAGTAATTAGTGATAAGAATGGGTCTTTTTTACATAATAGCTCTAATTTCTTTTGTCCAGGGTATTCTAGTAACCTGCGAGACAGTAAACTGGTGAAGCTTCAGTGGTTTATTGTGCATGTTCATGTTGCAGGAAGATGTCTTGTGAAGACTCTACCACTGCTCCTGTGCATGCTGTAAGATGAATTATAGAGATACTATTTTTTGTCTGAGTAGAATATAAATATGCCAAAAAATCTCGATAGAGCAGGATCAGGGGAAGCTTGCTATGCGTGAAGAGTTTGAACCTGGCTGAGACTACCTTTTAATTAATAACTTTTTAATGGAAACGAGGAAATTAAGTTCATGTAAGCACTAGACTATCCTCTTCCATTTTGACAGCCCTGATGTTTTAAATGTCAACAACTAGATACTTGGATGAACCCCTGAAGACTACAGTGCACTGTCAATTCTTGTAATTTACATTTTTTAAAGCAACAGGAAATTCAGATCGAAAACATACAAGTAAGCTGTTGTTGGTAACGAGGAGCTAATGGAAAATACGTACTCAAAAATGTGGTCAAATGGCATTTTATGAAAATAAGGTGTATTGTCTCAGGATTATTTGGAATTTGTTCAGGTTTTCCCATATGTGTTGGTCCTTTTAAAATGAGTCGAAAGGAAGAGAGATATGTACACTGTACCCGCCTCAGTAGGAGGGGAATTTTGAGGGAATAGGTGAAGATAGTGTGAAGAGCAGGACTATTTTACCTTTTCTATTACTTTTAAGTAACAGTGCTATTAAATAGGTGAAGATAGGCACCTGAGCATAAAACATTAAATACTGTCTAGGAGGCCTTTTGTCATCCTGGGGTGGACTTCTGTGGTTCCCACTCCTGGATCAGACCCTGGGGCCAGTGCATCAGCTGTGTTGGCTGTGCAGTTCTTTGCCTCCCACGTCTGGGGCAAGTGGTGTGTATGGCTTGTTAAAAGCAAAGGTCAATTTTTACAGTTGGAATAAAGCATGTGGAAGAAAAAGCTTTTAAAAATACATCTTATCTGGTATAAGGGCTTGCTCTTTCCTAAAGTAACCAACTAGGCTGGACATAATTTGTTTTTTAGTTATCTCCGAGAATATGAGTGTCTAATGCATGTTGCTCCAAACAAATGCTGATGCTTTTGAAATAATCATCTTAAGAAAGTTAGGTTTTCTTTGAATCTAAATGTTTCTGGTAGTTGTGCAAGTCTGCGGGAGTGTTTTTCCTTTCCCCATTGCTGAAATTGTGTGTATTTCAAACTCTTCTGTCTTTGCTTTTCCAACAACTGCTTATTTAAATAAATCTACTACTTTATAAAATAAACACTATGATAGTCAACATGAAATAATTAACGAACTATAGTCAATAGTCACCCAACTGGAGTCACATATACTGAAGTGCAGTTGTTAACTTTTGACTTCAGGGATTACGGATAATACATTTAACATGCGTTGGAAGCTTTGATTATCTATAAATGGACAAGGGCTGTAACTGATGGATTTTGGCTTTACAAAGGTCACATATCTGAACTTCCAAGCCTGCAGTTTAGATGCTCCACTGCACTGTCTTGCCCTAATTTCAGGGTCATCACCAAGAGATTAGTAAATGACACTATAGATGTTCATAGCACTTGCAAGAGTGCTTTTATATTACATGTTCTCTGGTTGATTCTTTAATGCTCTAAGAGTATTTAAACATGTTGTAAATCCTGAGAGATAATTAGGGGCACTTGTCTAAACTGTTTTACAAATGGCATCTGTGTTTTCTCCTAACAATACAGAAGTTTGTCTTATGCCAGTCTAAACGACGCAGCACACTTTCGTCCTCTTCAACTGTGTTACTGAACGGTCCCCAAACTTTGATTATTCTGTATAATCTCTAAATGCTTCTAGATATAAAGAACAGCATAGTGGGATTTTGATTCTTTTTTTTTTAGACAATTATCTGTTTATTTTGCAGTTTATTCCTGATGAGATTTGCAGCTGCTTCTTGAATCCTTTTAGGTGTCTGTGCTGAACAAACATGTGAATTAGGAATAAAATACAGATTTAATCCAACATTATCTGCCTTTTTTTTTTTTTGTTGCTTAGATGGTATTTTTCCAGGAAGATGCTGGATTCAGAATGAGTCAAGTCAATCAATAATTACAATAGTCTCTGAAACTCAAGTGAATATATCAATATCACACAGAAATATGATGTATGAAATTTAATTCAAGGTATTGCTGTGGTTGAAAGGATGAAACTGAAATTCAATGCACTTGAGTCCCAGGTAACCTCTTAAATAGCTTAGCTGAGCAGAGGCCATTCTGGGAGTACGGAACTCCTGGTTAAAGAATGATTTCTGCAGAAATCAATCTGTAGAGTTAATTATAAAAGCTGTATCTCAAATAGAGCAGTTACTCGGTCCCTTGCCATAACTAGCCTTCTTGAGCTGCAGCAGGAGTAAGGAACATGCAACACTTCAAACTGGTTAGGGAAAACTTGGAAGTTTTGTCGGTACGGACAAGAAGTCAGTCACTGCCAGTGTCAGCTATGCGTTCAGACGTTCTCAGGTCTGAAAATTAATTCTTTGAGGGGAAAAAAGATGCAGAAAATTTTTCATCTGAAAAGTCTCTACAAAAGCAAGCAGTTAAATTTGTTTAGTATGGCTATGTTACTGGAAATCAGCTCTTCCTCAAGAATAACATCATCCTTCCTGTTTGTGAGTCCCCAGCCAATTAACGCAGAAGTTAATGCGAAGTTGAAACTTAATGTGATATTTAGAGCTCCCTTTTGATGGTGCAGAAGGAACTCTTGGGAAGAACTGTGCACACTCTGTAGCAGCCAGTTGGGTGACTTGTGTTAGTCTGGGTTTATAGTGGAGAAATAAGGCAGCATTAGAGGGTCACTGGTGTTTTTTTCATGAAGCTTTGACTTACAAGCCTGCCTGAATTCTTTTTTTTGAGGACATGCATTGGTGAAAGTCTGTATATCGAAGTGAAACAACTTTGTCCAGCATCTCGCAGGAGTTACCTGCAGTCCTGCAGCTTCATGCCTTGCTAGGTGGTGGGGGAAACAGGCCAGTCTATGGCGGGTTAAGGTGAAGGAACAAAAGTCCTCCACTGCTACAGTTAAATGTTTTTAAAAAAAAAAAAATGCTTAAGATGTCTTTCATAATGGAAATGGAAAAGTACTGCTGTGAAATGCTTGGAATAGTTGCCTGTGCTTCCATTTGCCTAGCAGAGCACTGGGGGAAGTTTTCTTTGCCTTCTTGCTAAACAGAGAGCTTGCCAATGGTAAATTAGCGAAAGATTTTGTTTATCTCGACTCAAAAACCTGGATTCTCGCTCATAACTTTGACTTGTGAGTTCTGTTTCCAAGAAGTACTTGCTTTGGGAGCCTGCAAAAACTGTTTTGTAACAGCATTTTGCATTAAAGATCTCTGAGAAGAGAGCTTAACCATAGGAGTGTTTCTGATCATACAAGCTGTAGGTGTTTAGAAAGCAACAGTGAAAACGCCCCAGTACAGCTCTTGAAAGGAAA